CGTTTCCTGGCTGGAAACATTAATTAAATTACCCATTATTAGAAATACAGAAAGAACAAATTTTTTCTCTTTAATGACATAGGGAAAAATCTTTAGCGCTGTGTACTCTCTACATACCTGATATTCTTTACGTAGTCATTAAAGTAACTAGGCATGAATTAGAGATTATAATTCCTACTTGATGGATGAGAATAATAAAACTCAGAGGCAGTAAGCAATTTTCCCAAGATCATACAGTAGATAACATATGAAGATGTGAAGACTGGATTTAAGTATATCTAATTCCAGAACACTGCTCTTGATCTTTTCGTTTCATTAAAAAAATTATTTAATGTTATTGAAATCATATTTTATTAAATATAATACTATACCTCCTAAAGAATCAAGTTGTTTCCTAGAGTACATTATGGATTGCACACTGCCCAACTCAGAATACAGGAACAGAAATATTTCCTTCTCTTTACACACGGCTCCAGACAGGATCAATGGCCCAGAGCTACTATAAACCCCGCACATGCTTACCTTATCAATCAGAAACAATAACAAGGGGCGATTCAGTACCAATTATTTGCCCCCAGGAGAACACAATGAACAAGAGTTAGAAAAGGTGACAAGAGGGAGAAAGTGCAGTAAGATTTCAGAACTCTCTGAAAGAAGTTTCAAACATGAAATCTCCCAGTATGGGAATCATGATAAATAAGCAGTTGAAAAGGAGTACAAGTTGGCAACAAAACTTTAAGTTCTATTGAGTATGACTGAAAAAGGGGAAGAAACTTAGAACTAGGACATGGTTCTTGCATACATGCCCAAAGCTATAGAAACCCCTTCTCATCAGAAGCTTCAAGAATAAAAGGGACTTGTGTCCCCAAGAACACTCAACTTGTTGTCATAATGGAAGTTGAGAAGAGGTCACTTATTTGCTTGCCTTGAAAGGTTTTCCTAATAAAGAATCAGGTCAAGATGAACCACTAGTCTTAGTTCACTATTTGAAATAAACCATTTAACTATCAATGTGAGAAATAGGTTATTTAGTGTAAAGATGAAATTAGGAAGTAAAATTGTAGAATATGGGTATGTTGGAATAATGAATAGAGTAAGAGATTTAAAAATAAAAGTAGGGTTCCTTCCCAAAAGAAGAATTGATCTGGGAAGATAGCTTTTTCTGAAATATTTACAAATTTCATCTCGGATAGTAATGTGCATTAAAATTTAGCTCGATACAGCCAATGGAAATACAAAAATGTTCTGTCTTTTAAAGCTAATAAGCAAAAATATCAGAGAGAGATATTGCTGAATAGTGAAAAAGAAGACTGATAGTTCTTAATGTCCTAAAATAAAGTATCATAAAGAATTGGATGTGTTCTTGAGGTTTCTCAAATTATGACATGATTTTCTTTGTAGAGAGAACTAATTTATGATGTTACAAATAGTAACAGAAAACCCTAATTCTTTTTTTTAATACTAATGAGTTGCGTGAATAAGCCTGGCAGAAAATAATAACCCTATAAAGTCTTTAAATGGAAGAAATGTTGACTGAACTTTCAATCCAATTAGAAATATGCACTCTTAGAGCTAAGGTTGTTTTATAAAGAAATTAAAAAAATCTCACAAAGCACTGATCCTAAGCATTTTAATGAAACTAGTTCACATGCAAAAATCTTCTGGTATCTTCTCTTTAAGTAAATAACTCTGGAGAAAAACTGGTATCAGCTCCTTTCATCAAGGGTTGAAAAACAGAGTTAGCAGGTCAAGAGAAAATTTAAATAACCTGGCTAATAAAATATGTGGTAGTGAATGTGTATGCTTACAGACAAATGTGTAAACTTGCTTATACTTTCTAAATAAAGATATATTTCAAATGGAAATAAAGATGTCTAAATCAACCACTCCTTTAGAGAGATCTCACTAAATGAATGAGGGAAGAGTTGGGGACCATTACCCTTCCTGTTGTTTTAACATAAACCAAGTGTGAAATCTGCCCTGCTCTGAGTTAACAAACAAGCTAATCCACTGAGCCAAATCATATGCCTTTCCTAATGTGTACACCAGGGTAATGTAATTTGTATTTATAATTGAAACAAACATTTTGGGGACAGCCTAACTGTCGTGTATATAACACTACAGCTCTCTCCACGTTCTCCCCATGTAGAATTGGAATACATTGTTTGCTAAGGTCCAGAACAACAAGAGCAGTGGAAAGCACATGAAAAACTGTAACCAAGATGAATAACAAAAGTTGGTGTGTTCATTTCTGCAAGGTGTTAAGGCTGTGTATGTAAGAGACGTAAAGGAAAGAATAGATTAATGCACTCCAGATATCAAGGAAAATTTAATCTATGTGAAATTCTTATAGGAGCATTTGACTGATCCTGATTTTTCTTTAAAAATTGTGATACTTGTTCGTAAATTTGACTTCTCAGAAATAGCAGTCTCTATTTTTACTCTTCTTCCTCCCTGTCCCAGGCTTCCAAGGAAAAGGAGGAAGTGAGGACAAGGTGAAAAGGTCAGAAAAAATAGTCTTAAAAAAAATACCATGAGGATTTAGGGGGAAAAGTGGATCTGTTCTACATTGGAAATTTTTTGTTTCTACATATGCTGGTATGTGTGCTTCACACAACGATAGCGACCTCTTAGTAAACTAAGTAATTCAAATATGCTGTGATTTTCATAACTACTGTTTTTAAGACTGCCCAGCATTAACAACTTGCAAAATATACTTTAGAACTATGTTTTTAAATTAATGAAGCTGTGAAAATTAATTCCTTTTAAATTAGCAGTCTTGCTCTGTGCTCATTATGTATTGCCTAAAACATTCCCTCCTACCTTGGACTTAAAAAAAAAAAAAGAAAAAGAAAAACTTGTTTGATGGCTTTTGACTGTCAGATTCACTAATCTGCACCATCCCAAGAAGAGGGCAAACGCACATACATGATCTCTACCCACACAAGAAATATTAAGGCATCATATGTGATACCTTAAATCTCAAAACTTTCAGTGTGATGTTATTTTCTTCAAGAATTCTTTTTTTCATTCTGTGAACTGGTGGTAGCCAGCTGTCTAACATTTTGATCAAACAGAACTTCTAAGCTTTTAAAATTCTCACACTCTGCAAAGTAGTATGTACAATTTATCATACTGACAAAAAAAAAGTTTATCATACAAAGTAAAAATAAATTAGAATGTGAGAAGAATTCCTCTTAATAGTCAGGAGACTTTGCTTCTGATCCTTGTCCTGCCAGTAATGAGTTGTGTGATGGTAGACAAGTCATTTAACTTGCTCAGTTTCTATAGTCATAGTATTTCCAGGATTGATCATTTTTCAAGTACTTTTCTATTCAAAATTGTTTTCACTTAAGAGTTATAATGCTCCATTTTCTGGAACAAGAAAACCATCCACTTCAACACTTTGTCATTATGAAAGGGCTTACGAGCCACACCGTGTATGTCGTGGTCACATAACTGTGGGATGGTCTCCAAAAGGCACTGAAAGTCCATGTTAATGTAATTGGTGGAACAAATTGTTTATTGAGCCCTAAACATACTTATAGCCTATGTTTAGATATATCTTTTAATTCTTTTTAACAAAGGACTTGTTAAAAAGTCCTCATGGAAACGATAAAAATTTTAAAGTCTTGGTACCCTCATCAAATGGTACTTAAACTAAATGATTTGCCGTATTTCTGATTATGGAAATGTATCTTATTCACAGTGAGAAATTGCTGTAACTTCAATACCTTACTATTTCAATTATTAACAAACATTTTAAGCAAATAACCTGTTCCCATGAGGTAGGACTATATTAAAGTCAGTGAGCTTTGATTAAACAACATAAAGTCCAACGATCAGTTTAAACCAGAGAACTGAGTAACTCTACCCCAGACATGAATAGATAACATCATATTTAAAATATGCTGTTCACAATAACAGTCAAGGAAGGTGAAAACCCCTGGCTAGATCTGTTCTACATTTGGAATATCTCACTGGCTGGAGTATCTCATTGTCTCACAGAAGCTCTCATCAGATCACTAAAAATCCCAGGTAGATGGAAAAAAAGAAAAAAAACACAAGTGGTCTATCTTATCCAGGGTAAAGAAATGAAGTGAACAGGCCCAATAAGATAAAATGGAAGCAACTTTGTAGACAAATAAGTGAAAACATGATTGGTGCATGAATGAGATAACTTCCAGAAGTTCACTTCTGCTTCATGATTTTTATATACACTTAAAAATGTTCTATTCTCAATGTGGAGCTCCAAGAGAATGTTAAGTTTCTATCTCAGTGGAAAACATTCAACTATGAATCCAAGAGTTGCTTCCAGATGGAGTCACAACTTCATGAGTTAGAAACCTGGACAGTGAGAACAAGAGCTTGCTGCGCCCTTGCTGTGTGCCTTGGCACAATGCTGGACTTCTTGTTTTTATCTGTAATGTCTTTAAATCCTCCTAAAATCTCTATGAAGTAAGTGCAGTGACAGAAGAGGAAATTTTCAGAAAGAGAAAGAATTTTGTCAAAGTTCATCTGGGTAACAAATGGTGGGAACAGGACATCCCTGGCAACCTGCTTTATCATTTTGTGACCCACATGGCTACTCCTTTACTTCTTTGTTGTTGCACTTCATCACTGTGAATTTTTTCCTAAGAAGAAAATTGAGTCTACAGAGCCTTCCACCTGTTGTCCCCACGCAGCACCCAGGGTGGAGGTCACCATGCGTACTGCGTCCTTACCTACCTTCCTTATGTTCCACTTTGGCCACCCTTGGCCATTGAACACACTAGAAAAGTTCTGATTCTCTGGTCTGCTGCCTTTTTCTTTGGATTGCCACACCTGTGCCCCATTAGGAACACTTATAGGCACATTTCAAACATTAAAGCCCAGTAGAAATGAAACATTTCTCAGGATGAGCTGACAATAACTGGCAGTTCGCTAGGACTGAAGCCTTAACACAGAAGGGCCAGTGACAGAGAGCCAGGGCAATACCCCATGAATGTGGCCAAAAGGAATTTTCAGTTTGAAGGTCATTTCAAATAGGTCACATAAGAATGAGAAACAAAGAGCATGTTTTGATTGGAAGCAGATTGAAAGTAGGATTTCTGACCTGGATCTGTTGCTGGAGCAAGTTGATTTTGTGTTGCTGCTGCAGAAGCTGTTGCTGTTGTCTTGCAATCTGTGGAGAAATTATAAAAAGTGGTTAAAAATGCACTGAGGTCCAGGGGTAGGAGGAAGATGGAGACACCTATGTTCTGTTTTTCAAAGGTTTGGTTTGACACTGACCAGTGTGATGAGAGCAGTTGTGCCCATTCCCTAAACGATCAACAAGTCATCCTTAAATAGACTGGGACAAGATATTTCATCTCCGGGACCAGCTATGCTTTCCTTGCCTAACATGAATGAAGCCTGAGATACCAAAAGACTCATCTATCTTAGCAGGAGAGCAAAGGGTTTCATATACTCCTCTTCCTGGTGATATATTAACTACCCACTCTTTAGACACCTCAGCCCTTCTCTACAAAAGTGTTTCATAAGGAGGAGATGGCCCAGGGGTTCAGAGTAACACAAAGTATTGAGCACACTGTATTCCTCAGTGAAGGTTTGGTACTTTTATTTTTAATACTGTTCTAATTTTGGCCTTCCACAAACCCTTAAATGCCAACTCTTCAATACCCTATATAGTGTCTGTACCCATTTTTCTACCAAGGTGATTCTTGAGAAGGTCACCAACCTCTTGCTTCTCAAAAATTCTGAGATGTGTTTTAGTCTTTAGTTTTTCACATCTCAGCAAAGTCCAAAATCAAATGCTTTTCGTTCATCCTGAACTTTCTCCCTTGGCTTCTGGTGTGTTCCTCCTGCTCTGTCTGTTTAATGCTGCAATTCTCAAAGGCGCAACTGTACGCCCATTCTTTTCCCTGTACACCAACCCCCACAGCTATGCCTGCTGCTTCTGAACTTGTTTCTCTGGCTCTTGACCCTGGTTTTAAGCTTCAGACTCATTATGTGCACAAAAGCACTTTCTCAAAATCAACAGGTCCCAAACTGCAGGGGAGACTGAGTTCCACGTGGTCACCTTAACTGCTTCCTTTCCCAGGCAGTAACACAATCCCCCCACCATTATCTACCCTCCCAGCACCTTCTCTACTTACCAACTACAACAGTCCATGTTATGACTTCATATTTTTGATTGATTTATTAAATATCTTTCTGTCTCCTAGTGAGAAGTTGATGAATTTTGTGACTATAAGGAGTGTGCACATTTTACTCGCATTTCACAGAGCCTGGTATGAAAAGGATACTGAATATTTGATAGAATGCAAGGATTAATAGATAAGGAGAAAAATTAAAATATTTTATTACAAGAATACTCCCATCTCAGCCGTGACCCTGAATACTTGCTCTACCCTAAAGGCAGCCTCTTGCCCAAGTGGCTGCCATGGTCTCCCACCAGTTCTTCCCTTGCTGCCTACAGGGCATCAGAACCAGCACCCAGAGAGCTCTTGTTGAGATGTAGGCTGTGTCATACTTTTCATCTTCCCTAAACCCTCTATCTCCTCTAACAGCAGGCCAGTGATGCCTGGACTCCTATGTGCTTAGGCCTCCTGCTGCCTCTGGCTCCGTGTCTTCCCCTGCCCCCTTGTCTCTCCACTCTTGCCATCCTTCTCTCTTAACGTCCTCTTGAATACACCAAGGGTGCACCTGCCTCTCCAGGCACATCTGCCTATGGGTGTCGGCACTTGCCTTCCCTGGCATCTGGAACGCTCTGGCTAGATGGCCATGAGGCTTGCTTCCTCACCTTCTGCAAGACTTTGCCAAAAAACTCCTTGGTCATTAAGATCTTCCATGAGCATGTGTTCAAAGAGCACATCTCTCCAGTGACACCAGCAGCTCCAATTCCCTGCTTTAGATTTCACAGTAATGCTTATCAACATACACCACAGTTACTGCTTTACTTATAACCTAGCTCTCCCAACTAGAATCAAATATTAAAGGGATTTTCATTCCCTGATACAGCACCAACTAGAACACAACCTGCCACTGAATTGGTGATCAGTATATATTTGTTGACTATATACAAAGTCTGGAAGGAGCCCAGAACCTGGTAGAGCAAGGCACAGTGGCTCACACCTGTCACTGCAGCCACTTGGAGGCAAATATCAGGAGGATTGCAGTTTGAGGCCAGTGTGGGAAAAAAGTTAGTGAGACCCTATCTCAACAAACAAATTTTTAAGGAACATGAAGAGTATTTCATTAAATATAAAAATGTACCTGGCATGGTACACATGCCTGTAATCCCAGCACTAAGGAGGCTGAGGCAGGAGGATCAGGAATTTGAGGTCAGCTAGGCTACACAATAAGACCCTTCCTCAAAAAAAAAATCATCTTTTAAAGCAGAGATGACCAAGTGTCAAATGATGAAACAGCCAGCTCTTCTAAAGAAGATACCTGAGCTTTCTTCACCTCTTCCAACCTCAGTTCTCATCCTTCTTACAGCCCAGGCTCAAGCCTTCTCATCTCCCTTCTGCCCACTCACTCTACTGACCACAACTCTCTGCCTGTTTGTCCCTTCCCTCCCTTGTCCATGGTCCTTTTGCTCCTGGTTCAGATTCTCACTTGCTTTTTATTTACATTATTGTGACAGCATCCTTAATGAACTTCCTGTCCTCAGTTGGAAATTTTCTCCTTTGTTGAATCCTTCCTCTTAAATGCAAATCTCAAACCTGTGTGATGACTTCTCTTCAAAGTGCTCCTGACAAAGTTCTCCATAGTTCTTTATGGGCACCACTGTCACCACCCATCACAATTAACCTAGATTAAATTAAGGGTTGAGTATCCTTTAACTGGAGTTCAGATCTTTTTGGATTCTGGGCATACATAATGAGATATTTTGGGGAAGGGACCCAGATCAAGCATGAAATGCACTTAGGTTTCTTATACATATTGTACACATAGCCTGAAGGTGACACCACACAATATTTTATGTGCCTTGTTTTGATTTTGGAAGCCATCATGAGGCAGGGGATGGAGCTACCACTTGTATCAGGTCAGCATTACAAAAGCTTTGGACTTTGGGGCATTTCACATTTCAGGTTTTTTGATTAGGGATGCTCAGCCTCTATGTGTGTTTCCACCAAGTAGTTAACAAGCTTAAGATCTGGTGTGTGTGCGTTTGTGTGTCGTGTTCTGCCTTCTTACTGACTTAATTGGGCTGGTGAGGAGGGACCCCTCCTCACCTGTGTGTGGGGAGCCATGATCTACATACAGCGGGCACAGCTGGCTGAGCGTTTGATGCACCTCTGGCTCTCACTCACCTGCTCCTGTTGCTGCTTGGCCAGCTCCATTTGCTGGCGCTGTTTCTCGATCTGAGATGCAGCCAGCTTCTTCTGCTCATCGTGGGCGGCCAGGAGCTGCTCCCGCAGGCTGGTCAGCTGGTTAATCATGCCCATGAGTTGCCGCTCCTTCTCAGCCAGGCTTTCTGGAGTCCCTGACATGGGAGAAACAAGAAGACAAGGCTGCTGTGATGACACTGGTTCTGGTGCACAGTTCAACCTTTACACACAAAAACACAGACCAGCCTCCCGGTAAATTTTCTCATGGCAGTGAAAAGGCTATTTGCCCATTAAGAAATGTCAGAATGAGCAAACATTTTAAATCATTTTTCATGACAAGAGATAATCTATATCTTTTCCCCTTTCACTTTACAAGTAAATAAAAAATTACTGGCTGAGCCTCTATTATTTTTAATGTTCTATGTTGGCTCCATATGAAATAAAAAAGGTGTGTAAAGCACAGTGTCTTTAGTTTTCCATTTAATTAAACAGTCAAGACAAAGACACAAAAAATTAATAGCCATAATTATTAAGAGATCAAGGCATTATCAGTGATAAGATTCTCCTTTCCTTAAAGAACAATCGAGAAGATTCAAAACTAAAACATCTTGTGTTAAGAAAGGTGAAAAATCCTGGGGCGTAGGGTGTAGCCTATTTGGAGAGCAAATGCTTGGCATCATGAGGCCTGGGTTCAGCTGCACCCCCCAACACACACCACCACACACAACCACATACAACCACAACCACCACACACCACACACATCACCACACACCCACACTCCCACACCACCACACACCACACACATCACCACACACCCACACTCCCACACCACCACACACACCACACACACACCACACACACATCACACACCACATACACCGCCACAAACACAACCACACACAACCACAACCACCACACACACCTACACACTACCACACACACACACCACACACACTACTGCACACCATCACACAACCACACACATACCACATACATCACCACCTACCACCACACACAATCACATCCACCACACACACCACACACACCACCACACACAACCACAACCACCACACAAACCCACACACCACCACATGCCATCACACACACCACTGTACACCATCATACAACCACACATACACCACATACATCACCACCACACCACACAAACCACCACACACCCACACACCACACACACCACACACATAACCACACACACACTACACCACACACCACACATACCACCACACACACCCACACACACACTACACTACATACCACACCCTCTACCACACAGCACACACATACACACCATCACACACCACCACACAGACCACCACAGCCATACACACACACACCACACCACACACAACCACACACCACCACACACAGCCTCACACCATCACACACAGCTATATACCATAACACACAACCACAGCCATACATACACACACCACCACACAAAGTGCAACCATATACACACATAACTGCAACCATACACACACACAACCACAATCATACCTTCACACACAACCACACATACATAACCACACACACAACCACAGATCAAACACACCCTCGTACAACCAAAACCCCACACACAAACTACCACACAGACCTAACTACACATACAAAACTGCAACCATACACTCACATATCACATACACACAATCATACACACTCAACACCATACACACACACACACACAACCACACAACCCAGGAGATCTATTTAGCTCATCAAGTTTTAAATCATTTTCCCGATCCCACCAAGTGCTATCTTCAGAAACAGGATAGAGTTAACCAAATAAATATTCAAGTTTGAGAGGACAAAAGGTTATTCTGAAATAGTAAAATGTCCTTGGAAAACTAACATCAGTTATGCTCACCTAAAATTGTACATAAATATAAGATTTGGAAAAGAAGAGACGGCAGTCACTTAAAAGAAACTGTACACTCAAGACAGTTAAAGCCTGCCAACTGAATCTTCTTAAATCGAGTTAAAATACTTATTTGATAGACCGGACATGAGTTCTTCTCACTGAAACAGAAGCAATACCACTTTTAATTGTTCTTTTAAAACTCACAAGATAGACAAGACCCCTATGGTACAGTGCCAGCAGCAGGAGAGAACACACACTTTAATTACAATTTTCACTTCAAACATAAGACACTCAGCACTATTTTAATAATGCATTTGCCACCTGTATACGTAATTAGAGAGAAAGATTTGTTATAACTCAGTCAACCTTCCCCAGTCCACTACACTTCTTCCTTCCAATTTGGGGTGAAAAACCATGTATTCTTTTAGGGAGCCATAGCTATAGTTAGGGGCTTATAATTTTCATGTGCCCATTTGGAATGGAAATAAGGTTTCTAAAACAAATTTTAATGTATTTCTAACGAACATAAATCCAGAGGGAAGTGCTGTGCGACATGAACGTAACTGTGTGGCACTAAGGTGCCATTATTTATACTATTTCTTATTATCAGCATGTAACCTTGTTTAGGGCAGGTGGTCATCCAGTTGTTGCTAATGACTTAAATAAACCTCAGATACTTGGATTCCATCAGAATAGAACATTTACTGAAAATAATCATCTATCCATCTATTGTGTCCTAATACTAAGTAATCTAAATACACCCTGGGCAGATTGTCTTAACAAAAATATCCAAATGATAACAAGATGAGTGTCCACATCCATTGCTGATAGAGAAGTAAACTGTTAACACATTTTAAAGAACACATGCTAGGAAGGGTAGCACACATCATCTCTTGGATTGCTCATAACCGTTAAGGGGCAATCCCACTTTTAGAAATCTAGCCCAAGAAAACTTGTGAATGTAAATTGATACTAGTAAGTGTTTTCAATGAAAGACTAAAAACAATCTAAATGTCAAGTAGGGATAATCCAGTAATTATGGGACATCCATATAGTGGAGTATTTTATAAAAAAATTTATATTTTATAAAAAAAACTGAAAACAAATTTACGTACCTATTACTAGTAATTATTCCAAGGCAATGAGATAAGTCGTTTTCATTTTTCTACGTATTTTAGTAACTAGTCGCTTTTCTAGAATGAATATTATTGCCAGTATTAATTGCATATCGGAAAAATATACCTGAACTAAATATGTAGTAACACAATTTAGAAGCTTAAGAAACCATTACCATTTTAATGGTTAAGATAACACCAATGCGTAAAGAAATATATTATTTGGTGATGAGTATTAACCAACATCATTTTGACATTCAGTATATGAAAGATTAATTAACTTCTGTCTTCACTTTGACAAAGAGACGTAAGTAAGAATTATTTCAAATTTAAAACAAAATGTATGATTGTACAATCTGTATTTAATTCAAACATTTTGGATCTTTAGCTCATTTCAATGTACCATTTTTTGTGGTTTTGTTTTGCTTTTGTACTTCATGTTGGAGAATGAATCCAAGGTTTGTGTGTGCAGTGTACCATATGATTTTCTCTGGCTTTGAACTAACTAAAATGATTCAACTACTAAACTCTATATTTCAACAATTCTCAGGTGCACACTTTGTATGTTTTAACCTTTCTGATTCTTAAAATGTACACTGCCTCAGAGTCAATGAGATAATCAGGTATGTATCAACCTTAAGCTGGTCCTTCAGCCTGGTAACCTGTTTTCATTTACAGAATGGATGTCTCTGGAGTGTATAACACAGGTTTTGAATTCGACATGACTTAAATGGATCAATATTTCCCCTAAGGTTTTAAAACATTGTCATTCAGTCAACATCCTAAGCTAGGACTTTTAACATCATTCTCAATTCTCTTGTGAACTACCCCCCATATATATTATAGCAACAAATCATAACAATTTTCCTCAAAATAGCTTTGTTTTCCTTTATTAAATTAAAATTATTTTCAACATTATTATGCTCAGATGAGCATAAGTAATTATAAAGGCATACAGCATAAAATATCCTCCAAACACCACCCTTTCAAAGGCAACCACTATTATCATTTCCTTGTGTAATAGTTCTATAATAGCTTCCCAAGTCTACTGTAACAAAGTACTAAAGACCAGGCGGTTTAAACAACAGAAATTTATCGTCTCACAGTTCTGGAGGCTACAAAGTCCAAGATTAAGTTGTCAGCAGGGTTAATTCCTTTTGAGGATCCACAAGGGAGGGATGTGCTCTAGGCTTTTCTCTTTTGCTGGTAAGTCTTCACATCATCTCCATTCCAAGTTTCCTCCTCTTATAAAGATCCTAACCATATTGGATTCCAGCCACCACAGTGAACTCATTTTAATTAATTATTGCTGTACAGACCCTATCTCCAAATCTGCTCACATTCTGGGGCTCTAGGTATTAATTAGCATTTCTACAATTCCACCCATAACATTTTCTCTCATGCAGATGGCAATGCAAATATTGCTCTGCAGCACCTGGGAAGAACTGCTGATGCAGGCTTCCTTCTCCATCTCTACCCATTTCTCATTGCCTTTTTCATGAAGTGATGTAGCAAATGCTTAATAAAACTTGCAGTCAGTGATTTCTTCCTCTGAAAGTCTCTCCTGACAACCACCCCCTAAATTATCTTCCCAGAAACAAATCTAGCTACGTCACTTTCCCTGTTTAAAGACCTCCAGTTGCCCCCAATGGTGTCAGAATAAGATGTAAACTTATTCTTAACAATAAATGAGGTCCTTTGAAATACCACCCAAACTTTCTACTTGCTTTGTACACCAAAACTCTTAAGCCACACTGAAATTCCAACATTCCTCCTCTATCATTGATATCCCCCTCATCCATATGACCCCTGTCCTGTGCCATGCCCAGCCCATTCTCCGTCTCTCCCCCGAATGTTAACTGTCCTGTTCCAGTTCATGCAGCTGGCTGTTTGTGGCTCTTTCTCTGATCCCACTGATAGCAGCCACCTTCTTCTTTTGTAGTTCACACAGTTAATGTGTTTATTGCAGTATTTATTTTACTTATTACTTAATCAACAAATTGTATTAGTTTCACTTTTTTTTCCCTCCCAAAGTCAGGGAGAAGAGCAGAAATGATAAATTATCAACTTTTATATCATCATGATCTGCTCTATCTGTGTGGCATGTAACAAGTCAGCTAACTCTGCTTAGTGAATGTTCTGAAGAACACAGCACCTCCC